AGGACCTGAAATATGACAAAGGAGCACAACCTAGCATAAAATAGTCCAAGAAATCAAAAACTCTATCCAAAATGATCAAGAAAAGAGGGTGCAAACATGTGCAAATACGACGTTATCAGCCGCCTTCATCCCCGACTTGATTAGTGAAAGATTCAGCCCCTCCAACAAACTCCTCCCTTGACAGGCCAATCCTGACGTCGTTGCTAGTCTAGTCTTGAAAATTTTGGGAATCGCATCGAGGCGGCCGGATCTCAAACTTGGCGTCTTCTTCTGCAGAAGCTTGCCGAGGTTTCCCAGATGCCGCTTGTTGCAATCGGTGTAGGCGAGGTTCTTCTCCAGGATGCGATTATCCACTGCACGAAGGGAGGAGGCAGGCGAGACTGAGTGGAGAGCCGAGGCGGCTGCCGGAGAGGGGATTCGCAGGCAGAAGCTGGAATCAATCGAAAGATGGGCAAGGAAAAAACAAAGAAGAAGATATCACCGGGGTGGAACAGAGGAGTGTAGATCTATGTCGGTTGCTCGACCAAATCTGTGGCCGTTAACACTTCAGAGAGGAAGTTGTTACTCGGTCCCAAATCCAATCACTACACCACCGTCGTATTCTCCGATCTATTCCCCTTTCCCTTCAAAATCAAAATTTCCATCATAGCCAATGCTGCAGGGTAAAGGAAGGAGCATAGATGAAAATTTAGGTGGCGTTATTTTGGTTTATTTTTCTAAAATAATAATTATATAATTTGTCAAAAAAATATTATACAAATTAATAAATATTCGTCAGTCAAATGGTTGACTCTCTGCCACATCACCAATCAACATCCAACTCAGCAATTAAACTGCTACGTCAGAGCCAACTAACAGTTGACCGGACAGAAAGTTGACGGTTTGGTTATTAAATTATTTTCGAAAATGTTTGGCTATTATTTTGTTTAAAACGAAAGGTTTGGTTATTAAATTGTATTTACCCATAAATAAAAGTCACATGATGTAAGTGGTATTTCAGGAAATTTGGATATTATTGGCACAACCGTGAAAGTTTTGGATATACAAGTGTATTTAACCTAATAATTAAAATGAAAAACGAAACTTCAACTCATGATTTATTAAGAGGCGGCGGAAGCCATTATCGGAAGACAATTGTCCTCTCTAACCCTAAACCTTTTCGCCGTCGGCATCCACTCGACGTGAAGCTCGTTTCTAACACCATTCGGAGACTCAGCCGTCGTCCCGTTCCCCGACAACCAAGCTTCGTCAGCAATTCCGACGTTTGTGTCTCGTTGCCATCCTGACGTCGACGTCCCTTGGACACATCGTCAGGTCACCGTCTTCCCGTCGTCACGACACCATCATGTCGTTAATTTCCCGTCAGCTTCCCCGTCCCCATCCTGCCTAACTCCGTCACCATCTTGCCGGTCACCGTCCCATCTTGCCAGTCTCCCGCTGTCACGCCTCCTGACGGAAGCTTTTGCAGAAGGAGGAGAAGATGTGTCGAGGCGGATTTAGTTCATATATTGTTTATGTTTAAAAATGACAAGAATTTCTTACTAATGAATCCGTCATTTGTTTTAAATTATGTAGAAAATATTAATATTAATAATAATATTGTATATTATTAACAATACTGAGCTGAAAAGTTGATAATAGCATCACTTAAATGTTTACAACACAAGTAAATCGTGATTCATTTGACTGAGAACATTAATAATAGCGTCACTAAAAATGTTAATAATGCAGGCGAAAACACTAATATAAACTATTAAAACGTTGACAACTTAGTTACGTTGCTTTAAAAACCTCAAATTAGAAGCTAATCTTATTGTGACAGCATTTTAGTTACTGGTCAATAATTCCGATGATCTAATTAATAATAATAATGTGGTAGGTTAATAATGTTTACAACACGATTGATAAATCGCGTTTCAAATTTGATTGAGAACGTTAATAATAGCATCACGGAAAAATGTTAATAACGTATGTGAAAAAACTAATATGTATTGTCGACAACATTGACAACTCCATTACGTTGCTCTAAAAATCTCAAATCAGAGGCTCCCCTTATTGTCACATGGTTTTAGTTACCTTTTAATAATTTTAGTAATGTAATTAATAATAGAGTCGCGGAGGTTAACAATGTTGACAACACGACCATTAAATCACCTTTTGTATTGATAACTATAGTAGCGTCAACTTAAAATGTAAATAATGTAAGCCAAATCACTAATATGTAAGGCTGAAAATGTTGACAACTCCGTTACATTGTCTCGAAACCTCAATCCACCAGTTGCTCAATCCACAGGCTCCTCCGTCACGTTGACAATTCCGTCGCATTTCTTTTCGATAGCAAGCAACGGATGTAGCGGGCCGATAACAAGTTTGTTATTACAGATCTTGGATTGTGGCATATCGTGTAGCACTACAAAAAATTGATAATGGCATTCAAAATATTACTAATGCTGAAAAAACGCAAATAATGAACAAAGAATGTTAATACTACACGTTAATTTAATACACAAATTAATAATGGCACACTAGTAAAAAATTGAACATGACTTTGAAAATATTACCAATGGATGAAGAAACGTTAACAATAAACTAAGATTGATAATATTATACGTAAACTCAGCAGACAAATTAATAATAGCACACGCTTAATAATAAGACGGGTCATTATCAAATCATGCAAGATTGACAATATCACTTCCAAATATTACAAATTACTATGAACTAAATTAATAATAAACTATATTAGTGAATTAATACCGATTTTCAACAAATTGATAAAACAATTACTGATAAGCCCCAATCCGCGAGGCTTGTTGAACACAGCTTGGAATTCAGATTTCTAAGCCAGAGAACAAAGTAACAGGGGAATAGAAGGATGGTTCGGAGTGCAACTTCAACAACACGCGCGGGGAAGAGGCTCAACCGAATTCAAGATAGCAACCCGACCACGATTGAGGTGATGACTCAATCGATACAAGGCTCGCTCGTCGTTGGCGATTTGAACCAAGCAACAAGGACAATCCACGAGTTGAAAACTCAATGAACAAGTTCTGAATTGATTAACGTCTAACTATTACAATGGAGTTTCTAGGTCTTTAAATAAGCAAACTAAAACCTAATTCGAGTACAAAACAAACAAGGAAAGCTAATTAATCCTACAACGTCTAAAGGTAACAAACCAAAACAGAAAAGGAATCCCAACTCGTCCATAATACCCAACTTGTAGCTTACGCAAGCTGCCTCCAAAACAGTGTCCATAGCAACTTTGACCCCTACGTTCACATCTGTCCAGGTCTCCATCTCCTTAGCCAATACCTTGCTTCTGTAGACAATCAAACGCACTTTCATGTGGTACAAAGCTCCTTCCATGATTCGAACCCCTCTTCCCTGAATGGACCTCCAAAGTGACCTTCCTGACCATGCCTCCAGACTTAGCCAAATTCTGGCAGTCTGCCAGTTTTGAGACAGCTACTTTGAGGCCTTGGAACGCAGCTTTAACGACTTCATATGAACCCGAATCTCCTGCCATCTTGTAGAGGAAGTTTTTATGTTCAAAACAACACACTAATCTTTCATTTCCATCAACCCAATTGGAAGGACCAAAGCTCCAAAGTAGGCTGCCTGAACACGTCACTATACTTGGCCAAAAACTAAGATTGTTCAAATGAGTTGGGTTAGCTTCTCGGGCAAGTAACTCTAGCTTGGTAATGAAGCAATTTAGGGTTGTATCAATTACAAAGCGACAATAAAAAAACTAATAGCACAACCTAACATAATTAATAGGCCTATCAGACAACATTCACAATACGACAAACATTGACTATTAAGCGGGTAAAAATATTGACCATAGCCCTTCAAAAGATTACAAATCATGGTGACATAAATTGATCATAAAGTGTATTAGTGAAAAACCCTCAACACACATTATTAGTTTTAACAATCTTTGTAATGCGGGATAAGAAAAGTACAAGAAATAGTTGATAATGGGATTAGTAAAATTGATAATAAAGCTGATATTATTAATAAAGAATGTATGTATGCTAATAATGGAAATATATAAACATATTGATAATGGTCTTCATACTATTACTGGCGAGGGTATATATTATGAATGCATACCTTTGTATTATACTACTCTCATTGTCAATTGTATTGGCTAAGGCATTTTGATATTATCAGTTTTACTAACGTCATTATCAATTTATTGATACAAATGAACACAAATTTGACCATCGCCCTTTGAAAGTTTAAAGAACCAGTGCACCTAAATTCATAAGTAACTTTATCAGTAAGCCAATTTCGACTACCGACAAAAAGATTAATAACGCCGTGTTAAATATTAAAATTTATCAAAAAAATAGGTTAATACGGAGCACGTTACTAGTTAATAATGTATATTTTTGAAACGTTAATACCCGCTGAAGAAACATTAATAACGTCGGGCTAAAACTCTTCAACGTTAATTCAACAGATTGGGAAAAGATATTGACCATCGTCAGTGAACAGGATCCTTGGAAGGCGACGAAGATTACCTTGAACGCCGCCGAGGAGAGAGCAGGGATCGACGACAGACTGAACGGGATAGATGACGAACTTAAGCAAAGCCGGGAACGGATTTTGGAGACAGAGCGAGGACCGGACAGGAAACTGGGGTGAACAGGAAGTTGGGGCGTCGATGGTCGAAGACTGCTAACGAAGGGACGCCCGGATAATAAAAACAAAGATTCCCGACGACGGAGACGACTGGAGACTGCTCTCGAAGAGACGGGTTAACACAAAACCTGTTACGCTGGGAGGGAGAAAAACCAACGAGACGTGGGTTTGAAAATTAGTAGAATTTATTATTCAGTTTTTATATTATTTATAATTCCCAACATACCCTTGACAACTAATAACTTCTCACTAACCAATAACTTCTTACTAACTACCTAAAACCAAATCAACCAATCACAACACTTTAAAATCCTCAAAAAAGAAGGGTTAAGGACCTGAACTCAAGCCTCCCATGTTGATATTTATGCAATTGATAAAAACACATACGAGTTCAACCCACAGTCTCATCATGTATTAGGGAAAGCAAACACCAAATAAAATTTCTAACATCATTGATTCATTACAAATTACAAAAAAAAAACTTATAAACTTCAACCCATTACACAACTTACAAGCCTAATTTCACGGCATTACACTCCCACAAATTATCCTCCCAAATTCCTTCTCTACCTCCGCAGCCAATCCCTCTTCCCCACCATTTCTAAGCCCTTTACAAAGAAAATTTACCGCGTACTCATCTGCCGTCCACGTGTCCCCACACCCGCTCCGCCTCAGCATCCCCACAATCTTGACCGTCGACTCCTTCCTCCCGGCTTCCACCACGCCCTTCACCACTCTCACCGCCCCCTTATCGCCCTCCCAGTCCACCTTCCCTTCCGCCGCCGCCGCCTCCAGCTCCCCGACGAGCCCGTCGATCTCGTCCACCATCCCGTTCCTCAGCAGCGCGAAGATAGCGTCGCCGTAGAGGTTCAGATCCGCCTGCTGGTCCGGGAACTCCAGCCGCAACGTGGAGAAGACGCGGAGGGCGATGTGGCAGAGGTCCTGCCGCAGCAGCTCCCGGAGGACGGCGACGAGGTCGGGCTTTAACAGGCGGGATAGGTTCGGGAGTTTGGGCTGCTCGGAGCTCCGGTAAGCGCGTTTGAGGGATTGGACGGCGTGGATTGCTTCGGTGCTTAGGATTCGGCCTTTCATGAGCGGGCCGCGGTTGGAGCGCGGGCCGCAGCGGACTGGAGCGAAGGCGGCGATGGATTGTGTTAAGGATTGGGGGCGGGGGTTGAAGGAGATGAAGGGCGGAGGAGTGAAGGTGGATCGAAGAGATGAAGCCGACGCCATGGATGATTTGAGGGCTGGGAAGAGAGGGCAGTCGGCCGTCGAAATTGGGAAATCGCAAAGAAATTGGAATTGGTTTTATCCAAGACTGAGATTGTGTTGAAAGACCGCTTTGACCTTTCGGCGGAAGGAGATGGAAACAAAATAAAACATAAAAGCGAGAGGGATATAAAAAAATCGTCGACAGCAGGATTCGAACCTGCGCAGGCAAAGCCCAACAGATTTCGAGTCTGTCTCCTTAACCACTCGGACATATCGACTTTGTTGTTTGTGTTCACATATGTTAATTATATTTTGAGCTGAAAATCCAGTTGAAAAGTGATGGCTATAAGGGCCTTGGTTTTTGGGCCCAGCCCGACTTGTTAGAACGATTGAAGGAAGCAGGAGCTTTCTGGCTCCCGAGTCTTGAGTCTTGACGCATTTGCTGAGTTCATGGTACGGGGGATAATACTCGAATCCAATTTCGTCCCGTGCCCCAAAACTCTAAATCCGACCGCCGTTGTTCCTCGCGGTTTCAATTGCCGGCGGCAGCTGATCTAGGGTTTCTGCTCCTCGCTGAAATTCCTTTTGTTTTGAGCGCTCAAGATGGACGAGGACCAGGAGATGGAGAAGTTCGGAACAGAGAACGATTTCGAGGGCGGCGAGTGGATCGGCGGCGAGTTCTACTACAAGAAGCGCAGGGATAAGCACGTCCAGACCAGAGAGGACGTTCTCTATGGCGTTTTCCAGGCAAACTCATCCGACTCGGACGGAGAGGGCGGCTCCTCCCGGCGGCGGAAGCGGAGGAAAGGCAAAGACGTCGATCTCACAAAGCCTGTAAACTTCATCTCCACAGGTACGGTTATGCCTAACAAAGAAGTAGATAAGAACTCTAAGGAAGAGAAGAATGCTGATGATGATATGTTCGAGGAGGCGGAGAATGATGGCGGTAGGGCAGGTCTGGGCGCTGGTTCAGGGCTAGGGTTTAATTCGGGCTTCAATGGTAATAGTAACGGTGTAGAAAGGCCTGAGGGTGCTGAACAGGTGGATGGTGATGCTAGTGAGGATGATGAGGTGCTTAAGTTTTTTCCAGAGGAGTTTGGTAGGAGCGTTAAGGAAAGGAAGGAGAGAGAGAGGTTGAAGAAGAAGGAAGAGAGAGAAGGCAGAGGTGGAGGGAAGAGGAAGGAGGCTGGTTTTGGAGATATTGGCAAGTTTGAGCAGCATACGAAAGGGATTGGTATGAAACTGCTTGAGAAGATGGGGTATAAGGGAGGCGGGTTAGGGAAAAACAAGCAAGGTATTGCTGCTCCTATTGAGGCGATTCTGAGACCCAAGGGAATGGGTATGGGTTACAATGATTACAAAGAGGTCTCGGCTAGTGTCCCTCAGGCGGACGAGAAGAAGGCTATAACTCAGACCCAAAGTCAAGCAGCTGGCAGATCGAAAGAGAAGTTGTGGCTGAAGGGAAAGAAAAAGAAATTTGAGAGGTATGTTACAGTGAAGGAGGTCTTGGAGAAGAAGGAAGAACAGGGATTCGAGATTACTCAGAAGGTGATTGATATGAGGGGCCCACAAGTTAGAGTCTTGACTAATTTAGAGAATCTGAATGCCGAGGATGAGGCGAGGGACAATGATATTCCTATGCCAGAACTTCAGTACAATATTAGGTTGATTGTAGACATGGCAGAGGCAGATATTCAGAAAATCGACAGTGATTTGAGGAGAGAGAGGGACACAGCTACTGCTTTACAAGCAGAGAAGGAGAAGTTGGCAAAAGATGAAGCACGCCAGAAGAAGCAATTGGGTAACATGGAGGAAATCATGGGCGTAATGAGCCATATTGAAGAGCAGAAGGCCTTGGGATCTTTAACATTGGATGATCTCGGTAAATGCTTTAGCGAGCTGCGGATGAAATTCCCAGATGAGTACACCCTTGGCAACTTATCTTGCATTGCATGTTCATTTGCTTTGCCTCTGTTCATTAGAGTGTTTCAAGGATGGGATCCTCTCACAAACCCAATGCACGGGTTTAAACTAATCGAGTCATGGAGAACTCTACTTCAAGGTGACGAAAGCCATCATATATGGGATGTTGGCACGCCTTACACACAGTTAGTCTCAGAAGTCGTCTGGCCTGCTATTCAAGTAAATGGAACAACTTGGGAGCCTAGGGATCCAGAGCCAATGCTCAGATTTCTGGAGTCTTGGGAGAAACTGTTGCCAGCTTCAGTTACTCAAAACATATTGGACAACGTAGTCCTCCAAAAGTTGTCAACTGCTGTCAACTCCTGGGACCCTCGTATTGAGAGAGTTGCAATCCATGTTTGGGTGCATCCATGGCTGCCACAATTGGGGCCAAAGTTAGAAGTACTATATGAGACGATTCAAATAAAGCTGCGTAATACCCTTGTTGAATGGCACCCATCTGATGCATCAGCATATGCTATCTTGTCACCATGGAAAACAGTTTTTGATCCCATCAGTTGGGAAAATCTGATGAGAACATCCATTTTGCCCAAGTTGCAGGGTGCCCTTGAAGATTTCCAGATAAACCCTGCTAGTCAAAATCTCAATCAGTTCAATTGGGTTTTGTCATGGGCTTCTGTTCTCCCCATTCACCTCGTGGTTGACTTGATGGTGAGATTTTTCTTTGTGAAGTGGCTTCAGGTTTTGTATCACTGGTTGTGTACCAACCCAAACATGCAGGAAGTTCATAAATGGTACGTGGGTTGGAAGGACCTTCTTCCTCCCGAGCTCCAGGCACATGAGAACATTCGGTATCAGTTCACCATAGCACTGCAGATGATCGATCAGGCTATAGAAGGTCAGACCATTGCCCAACCCGGTTTGAGGGCGAATCTTGGTTACCATAGGGGACAAGAGCATAGAGCAGCAGCAATACCACCTGTGCAGCAAGCTGCAATGGGCGGTGTAGTTGAGATGAGTTTGAAAGATGTAGTTGAGGCACATGCTCAAGAAAACGGGTTGCAGTTTGTGCTGAAGCCTAATAAGATGCATGATGGTCATCAGATGTATGGTTATGGCAATGTAAGTGTGTACATGGATACTTTGCATCAGAAATTGTATGCTCTGAATGGGCAGGATTGGGTTCTCTCAGACCTTGATATGTTGCTTACAATGCACTACAATTCGCTTCGAAGGAACCGCTAAGTAAATCAATCATCAGCCTGAAAGAAGAGATTGTCAGGTGACGTTGACATTTGTTGTTCTTCTATTATTGATATTTAGTATGGAGATGATACTTGACAATTTTTTTGTTTTTTATTCTGCTTTCTTTTGCGACAGTTTGTGCTTTCGATATATCCCCACCTTGAACAGTTGTGCTCCTTTCATGTTCAGTGATAGTTCTAATTGTTGTCATCAACTCTTATCAATTTGAGTGAACGTAACGAGCCTGTAAGACTGCAACTACAAGGATTTTTATCATCGGTAATGTTTCAGTGCATTCTCATGTTGCTTGCTTGGACTGAAAAAAGCTGCGCAACTAGATTTGCTGATTCAGGTCGTAGGGTTTTCTAGAACAGGTCGCAGTATTGAAGGTGCAGAACTCTGAGTTGGCTGCAATAACAATGGAACGTAGGGTTTGTTTCAGCTTTTTTCCCAAGTAACTTTTTCTAAGTTTTACCATAGGTGAAGCAATGGTGGGTTTGGTTCAGTTTTAAAAAAAAGGAAATTGAGTTGAGAGTTATGAGCTATTTTGCGTAGTTAAAAAATTTATTTATGAGATGGTAGATAGGTTTTCTTCAATAACAATGAAGAGAATACTAGTGTCTGATTACAGGCAAATTGTATCTGCAGGGGGGTTGATTCGTGTTGCATTCCACTAAAGTCGAGGCAGATTTCTGTTGCTGCTTAGTTTACAGAGGGCAAGGCAAGCATGGTGAGGTTTTCACGGGGTAAAGCTGCTGAAACTGTTCATCTACTGGCTCTTCAATGAGGATGGCTGGTATGAAGAACGCATTAAAATCATCCTACCCGGAAAACCTCCTGTGTCGGGGTGATGTGGTGTCTCATTCAGATTCTGAGCTCAGATAATTTCGTCGGGACTTTGGCGAATTGAGAATCAGAGTCTCGGCTTTGCCGTTCTGGAGATTATATGCTTGCTAGGCAACTATTGTGCAGTGCTCTGTTGTGGGGGATAAGGAAGTCCTAAACTTTAAGCAAGGGATAAGTTAAGCTTATTGAGACAGATTGTGCTTCGAAAATACTTCATTGACAGAGGAGAGAATGTGTTTTACGCAGTTGTTCTTGTTGTAGACACAAGTGTGATACGTCCTATCTGAAACCAAATCTTACTCAACATCATATTATATCGCCCATAACTCAGTTCTACCTCATATGAAATTCAATCAGAAGGGTTTGATGAATTGGTTATTTCTACCTTCTAATAATGCCGCTAATAAAGATCGAATACGAAGAGTGATAAACAAAACCAACATCTGAAGGGTTTGATGAATTGATCATTCTCCCTTCTAACAATGTCGCTTACAAAAACCAGTAGTGTAAACACGTAATTTCCTTCTTGTTAATATTGGTCCCAGCAAAACGAGGTGGAACTGCAACCTGACCCGAGAAAGCAGATTCAAGGAAGGGAGAAATCTTTGTTTCTACTGATGCACTTCCATTCAATATGGAAAAAGCAGATTCAAGGAGAGATCTTTGGGGCATTACCCAAAAAAAAAAAGATGATACCTTACCAATCAAGAATCTGTAGCTTATGAGAATGGGTAATGACAAAGGCCCGTTTACCAAGAGCAACATGGCAGGACATGCATGCACATTTCATGGCTTCCTGGCTTGTTGAAAATAGACCCAACATTCCCACTTTCTTAATTTCTGGAGTTTTTGCCTCCATCTCTTGTTGTGTCTCCCTCAAAAAACAGATCAGCTATACATCATCCTCCTTGCGATTACATGTTCGTGCAGCACAGCCTGCATCATGTATTCTGTGGTCGGTGTACTTGTTTCGCTTCCATTTTGGCTTTTCTTTTCTTTTTTCTTCTCAGCGTATTTGGTATCTACTTTCACACTTGAATGGGTTTGTTATGTCTTGTGATGAGAACTTGTTATTTAGTGTAAGATTTAAGAAATAGCAGAGAGGTGGCCTAAGTGCTCTCGTAGCTCAGTTGGTTAGAGCACCCGTTTAGTAAGCGGGAGGTCTTGAGTTCGACTCTCAACGAGAGCAATGATATGTTAGTTTGGATGTTTGATCGAGAAATATTTTTTTTATTTTTGTATGGCATCTTGAGTTCGATTCTCGGTACGAGCAATATAAAGTTGTTCGTTTTTTTGTGTGTTTGGAAGGATATAGGGAGGTATTGAGTTCGATTCTCAATAAGAGCAACGTTAATCGATTCACATGCATACTCAATTAACTAGAATGACATCTTGAGTTCGATTCTCGGCACGAGCAATATAAAGTTGTTCACTTTTGTGTGTTTGTAAGGATATAGGGAGATTTTGAGTTTGATTCTCAACGAGAGCAACGTTAATCGATTCACATGCATACTCAATTAACTAGAATGCAAACTCAATTATTTTTCCTTCTCCGTGCACTTGGTATCTACTTCGCACATGAAAGGGTTCATTATCTTGTGATGAGAAGTTGTAAAGTAGAGAAAAGTTTCAGAAATAGCAAGAAGGTGGTTGAAGTGCTCTTGTAGCTCAGTTGGTTAGAGCACCCGTTTAGTAAGCGGGAGGTCTTGAGTTCAACTCTCAACGAGAGCAATGGTATGTGGTTTCAATGTATGATCAACTAATAGATTGTTTTTTGAAGCTAATCTTGGCTTTGATTCTCAATGCTAGCAATATTAAGTGGTTTACTTATTTCCCCCTTTTTGTAAGGAAATGAGTTTTTTTTACAAAATATAATCTTATATATTGATTAGAAAGAGAGGTAGTTACATCGTGGAATTAAGCTAGACCATGAAATCAAAGAAACGACTCGTAGTCGGGTACAAAGTGAGGGCCTTTCTAACCACCAAGTGGGCTACACTATTGCTACTCCGACCTACAAATCGAACACTAAACCTATTGTGGTGCGCAAAAAGTTGCACAACCTCTGCCAGAATGGCCCCCAACCGATTATCGCGGGTATCGGCTTGATTGATCTTTTCTATGACCACTTTGGCATCCCCCTCGAACCTCGTCTCCGTAAATCCATGGAGCATACACCAAAGATTAGCTTCCCTAAGAACGAGCAGCTCGACAATCATAGGATCATCAATCTCCACGAACTGGACCCATTAGCCAATAAGACCTCCCTATCATGGCTCTTGATAATTATCCCGCCTGCCGAGTAAGAGCCACTCTTCGTGGCCCCATCCCACACACAAACAACCGAATGCGGATGAACAACACCCAAAGGATGTACCAAAGAGATGGAAGACTGAAGAACACGATCGACAGGCAGGTCAATTCACTTGTGATACTGTTGGTTGAACTGCCTCATAAGAGTTGGGATCCCAGACGGTTTTTCCTCAAAGACAACCCAGTTGCGCGATCGCCATATCCGCCAAAGGACAGAAACAACCGCCATAAAAATGGGATATTGATGTATGAGTAACATCACCTTCTTTAGGAAGAGTGGGAACGTGTGATGAGGCAACCCTTGCACAAGATCTTCTAGACCCGAATAATCCCATAGGGCTCGTGCCACTAGGCAGTCAAGAAACAAATGTTCCATTGTCTCTAATTCCGCCCAACAAACCGGGAACCTAGGAAGCACCGGAATGTCCTTTTCAATTAGGGCTTCCGTCGTCGTCAGGATACGATTGAAGATTTGTCAAATAAACACCTTAAGCTTGGGAGGAATATTGGCTTTCCATAAGAGGATCCAGCTAGCCCTATCCATCCAACTAGCCGTGGATTGACAACGACCATCCTGCTTATCTAATGAGACATCAAAATGATAAGCTGACTTTACAGTGAAAATTACGTAAGTTGTGCCATGCCAGATTAACCTATTCGCAACATCTTGAAGAAAGAGGAATAGATTTGATGGCACGACAAGTGGGCGGATCAAACCACTGGCTAAGTTTTAGATCACACTAGCGCCCCTCCCACTGACAAATAACCCTCTGATACCAGCAGTTCCCCATCCGCAAGTAACAGTTGGGGATTGTAGGTTGCAGTAAATGGGTGTAAGCGGGAGATCCAGTTGGAAAGTAACAAAGGAGCCGCCTTACCATTTCCAATCTGCCAACATAACCCCATGACTAATAATTGTCGACCATAGAGGTTACTCTGCCATCCCCAAGATGGTCGAGAACGTACAGTATTTGTGAGGAACGTCCCAGTCAGGAAATATTTGTCGTTATAAACCTGGGCTAAAAGGGATTGGGAATCATTAAGGATACGTGATGCTCTAAAACACGACACCAATCTGCGACCAAGTGTAATCGCAGACCGGGAATGCAGTAAAGTGACAAGTGATATTATCAACCCGGGGTCTAGATCTACTGCTTACTCAGTGATTATCTATTATCTAGCCAACTAAAGTAAGTGATTGTTGTTTTAAAAGCAAAAGCAGAAAGAAAGCAGGAATTGGTACGGTTTTCTCAAGCAGGTAAGAGTCACTCGGGAATGAGTCCCCCTAGCTCCTTAGTTAGGTTTCAATTGTATTTCCTTGGGTTGATTTACTGTTGATTAGACTGCGGAAGATCCGACAGTAGCTTGGAATCTCTTAAGCTGACCAAGCCCTCTCAGTCTGACTACCCGGCAGACGACTAGTCTTCACTGGGATAGAAAGCTGAAGCAATAAGAACAGAACTCCACTACTGGAATTGGATTCCAGTACAAAGCAGTAAACTGGCTAACTCTCGTATAGCCAATCTCCTACTACCGAATGATGAGACTCTCGCAACCTAATCAGATTCTATCAATCTCAGATTGCAGCAGGAATCAGGAAAAGTTGATCAGACTTCAATTGACTCAATACACATGCATCATTCGATTAAAATCAAACAGTAATATCATCCCAAGTCATTACAATCAATCCCTAACACATAGAACTAGGGTTCTTCATCCCCAAGTGAGAGAGGGGTTCTACTCCATAGAGAGAGAGAGGAAAACAAGGTACAAAGCAGTCATACTCATTACAATGGGGAGAATCTGCTCTGGGATGATGATTTCCACTCCTATGACGATCTCCAAGCTTGATTTGATGAAACCCAGCTCCAAGATAGCTTCTAGGATGTGTTCTTCGTACTTTCTCTCTTTAGGGCTCTGTTTTTGCTCAAAAAGTCCGATCCCCTCTCTTGCAGCCCGAAATTGGGTTAAAACCAGAAATTCCCGACTCACACGGGCTGGGCCACACGGCCGTGTGGCATACCCAGTTGCCCGTGTGACTTCAAAACGCTGCGTTCCGATTAATTGCACTTCAGTCAACCTACACGGCCAGGGTCACACGGCCGTGTGGATCACCATGCCTGGCCGTGTGAAGCCTCGCAGAATTCCACACGGCCAAAGCACTCCTTCACACGGCCGTGTGGATATCAGCGCAAGCCGTGTGAAGGCTCGCACAATCTCACACGGCCAAAGTGGTCACTTGCACGGCCGTGTGAGTTGTGGGTGTGCCCGTGTGGCTTCCTTTTCGACTTGCCTCGCGCCCGATCTTCGTCCAATCGACCCCGAACTCGCTCCAAAACCTTCCTTCACTTGCTAGGACCTGAAATATCACAAACAAACACAACCTAGCGTGAAATCGGCCTAAAACACGAGAATTACCATCTCAAACGGCTCCAAAATAGGGGTAAAAACATGTGCAATTAACGGCTTATCAATACGCCATTTAATTTTGGCTAAGAGAGCTCGGGTGAAATGTTCGAATCGGAAAAACCCCATTCCCCCATTGTGCTTACTCATGCACATATTTTGTCAGGACATCCATCGTGTCTTAGACCTTCCCTCTTCAACACCCCACCAGAATCTGGCCCAAGGTTGTCAACCCGCGGGTTGACCCGGACCCGATCGAGTTAGTGGGTTAAGGGTTAATGGGTCAACCGTTTTAGCCCGGTTTGGCCCGGAAATATAGAAAAAGTCATTATATTGTACTTATCCTCATAAATTATATCAAATCTTATCTAACATATGACTTATAACATATAATATTACACCAAAATAACATATCGTACTTAGATCCAACATATAGTGAAAATTCACACACTTATATAACATAAATATTCAAATGTTCAACTTAGGATTCCAAAGATTGAGTTAGGCGAAAAGAAAAATCGGAAAATAGGCGCATTTCGCAAACCAAAGAAAAAAATGACACAATTTGACCTCCAACCCGGTACCTTGTAGCGGTCGGCTCGGCGGGTGCGTATGGCCCGTTTTTCTCACCGGGCCAGGGTCAAAGTGGGTCGACCCGCGAGTCAACCCGTGGGTTGACAACCTTGATCTGGCCACGTGTTTG